CAGAATTCCCGAGGAAGCTTTGGAGTCACTCAGGGCCTAAAACGATCCCGAATTTCAGTTTTATTTCACTTTTAACGCCGTTTTTAATGCGCTGCCCACCACCACCATCTGGAGAAAAGCGGGAGTACTACAGGAGTAGAGACTGAGTAGATTTAACCCAATTCCAGGAAGGTTTCCAGGTGGATGTGGAGAACAGGATCAATCCTTTCTTATTTTCCTTTTAGGATTTCATTCCCAGTTTCCACAATGAAATTATTCCAGAAAAATGAGATAAAAATGAGGGGTAATTATGCAGCAAATCCATATTTTAATAAAGCATTAAATACCATATCCTAAATATTTATCAGACCCTCTAATCACTAAAAAAATGCACTCTAATATTTAATATTAAACCAGATCAACTCCTCAGGGAATTCTTAAAGCCTTGATTTCCTCATACTTTGAGATTCACCAMAAATCCCATTTTTGTTTCAACAGAAAAAGTTGCAAACCCTTCAAAATATAAAAATATCCCCCCAAACCTGAGTGAAACATGGAAAAAAGGTGGGAATGAGCTGTCAATCCAACCCAGGAGATGCTAAGAAGCAAAAAAAAAATTGGGAAAAAAACCTCTTTTGGATGCTCCAAGTGCAGCTACAAATTTATTCTTCACACCCTCGCTCTTCCCTCCTGCCTGGGTTTTTTATCACAAAGCTGGAGTTGGAAAACACAGAGTGGGATTGGGGAAATATTTGAATAATTTTAATGCAAATATGGATAGAAATTGTGGCAAAGCAGCTTCCGAGACTTCTCCTTTCAGGTTGTCACTGGAAAAATCTCTATCCTGTCTCTCCTCCTGCCTCCTCCCTCCATAAAATATGGATTTGATGATCCATAAAAGCTTTTTGTGTGAATATTTCCATCTTTTTCCTCACAAAATATTATCACATCCCAGCAGGTTTGGAATTACTGCTTTGGGATCAGCCTCCCTCTTTTTTTTTTGCTGGTTACCAAGAGCTGTCTCCAGAAATATCTTTCATGTTTTATTCACTATTTTTTCCTTCAAATTTTCAATTAATTTGGGTTTTTCACCATTAATGAGCACTGAACTTGCAGCTCTGTTGGATTTCTATCCCATATAAAGGATCTTCTCCAAATTTAACATTCTGTGATCCCTGGGAGTGGGGCAGGCCCTGAATCACTGGGAATTCTGGAATATTCACACAAAACTTCCTGGAATGGGGTAGAGCTCCAAAACCCTCGATGCCTAAATTTAAATAAAAATTGGGAATTTTCAGCCCAGCTTTTGTAGGATCAGCCCGTGTAAGTGATCAGGAAGGTGAGGATTAGGATTTAAATAAAAATTGGGAATATTTGGATCAGTTTTTGTAGGATCAGCTAATATAAGTGGTCAGGAAGGTAAGGACTAGAACTTGAATAAAAATAAGAATATTTGGACCGGTTTTTGTAGGATCACTTAATATAAGTGATCAGGAAGGCAAGGATTAGAATTTAAATCAAAAATGGGAATGTTCAGCCCAGTTTTTGAGCATTAGAACACAAAAAATGGGAATATTTGGACCAGTTTTTGTAGGATGAGCCAATGGAAGTGATCAGGAAGGTGGGGGTTAGGATTTAAATTAAAAATGGGAATGTTCAGCCCAGTTTTTGAGTATTAGAGCATTAAAAATGGGAATATTTGGACCAGTTTTTGTAGGATCAGCTAATGGAAGTGGTCAGGATGGTGAGGATCAGAATTTAAACAAAAATGGGAATATTCAACCCAATATTATACTCAGTTTTTGTAGGATCAGCCGTTGTACCTGGACAGGGAGGTGAAGAGGGTGCAGAAATAGGAGCTGGAACAGTGCTCCATCCCAGTCACACCAGCAACTCCCAGTTCCTGGGAAAAACTGGGAATTTTACAGCCCTAAAGAAACAGCAACAACCTGAGTGAATATTGCCAGGATGGCACAAACCACCCCTGGAAAATCCACAGCCGCGGATTCTGAGCTGGAACAGAGGAGCAGCGATGCCCTCTTGTGTTCCCAGGGAAATTCGTGATAAATCCAGAGCTGGTGCCGGACCATGGACAGAGACACGAACAGAGTTTAAAGCGAATCCACAACTCGTGATAAAACCAGTGTTTGTGCCAGACCATGGACTGAGATACGAACAGAGTTTACAGTCAATCCACCCGTGATAAACCCGGCGTTGATGCTGGACCATGGACAGAGACATGATCCGAGTTTAAAGCGAATCCACACTCGTGATAAAACCAGTGTTTGTCCTGGCCATGGACAGAGGAGCGGTCTGAGCTCACGGTAAACCCACAGCTCATGATAAACCTAGCACTGGTGCCGGACCATGGACAGAGACACAAACAGAGTTTACAGTCAATCCGCAACTCGTGATGAACCCAGTGCTTGTGCCAGACCATGGACAGAGGAAAAATCCGAGCTCACAGACAACCCACCCATGATAAACTCAGTGTTTGTGCCGGACCTTGGACAGAGACACGATCCGAGCTCATGGTAAACCCACAACTTGTGATAAAACCAGCGTTTGACCCAGACCATGGACAGAGATACAGTCCGAGCTCACAGCCATCCCATAACTCGTGATAAACCCAGCATTTGACCCGGACCATGGACAGAGACACTGTCCGAGCTCACAGCCATCCTACCCGTGATAAACCCAGCGCTGGTGCCAGACCATGGACAGAGACAGGATCTGAATTAACAGCCAATCCACCCATAATAAATCCCTCACCATCGCTCAGTTTGTGCCGGACCATGGACACAGGAACAATCCGAGCTCACAGTAACCCCAACTGTGATAAATCCAGCACCATCCCTTGGTTTGACCCATACCATGGACAGAGATAGGATCTGAGTTTACAGCCAATCCACCCATAATAAATCCCTCACCATCGCTCAGTTTGTGCCGGACCATGGACAGAGAAGCAATCTGAGCTCACGGTAAACCCGACCGTGATAAACCCAGCATTCGTGCCAGACCATGGACAGAGGCGCTGTCCGAGCTCACGGTAAACCCAACCGTGATAAACCCAGCGCCATCCCTCTGTCTGACCCGGACCACGGACAGAGATACGATCTGAGTTTACAGCCAATCCACCTGTAATAAATCCCGCACCATTGCTCAGTTTGTGCCGGACGATGGACAGAGGAGCAATCCGAGCTCACGGTAAACCCAACTGTGATAAACCCAGCACCATCCCTTGGTTTGACCCAGGCCATGGACAGAGAACCAATCCGAGCTCACAGTAAACCCAACTGTGATAAACCCAGCGCCATCACTTGGTTCATGCTGGACGATGGACAGAGGCACTGTCTGAGCTCACAACCAATCCACCCGTGATAAAYGCAGCATTTGACCCGGACCATGGACAGAGACACGGTCCGAGTTTACAGCCACCCCACCCGTGATAAACCCAGCACCATCCCTCGGTTTGTGTCAGACCATGGACAGAGGCGTGGTCTGAGTTTACAGCCACCCTACCTGTGATAAACTCACAGTTTGACCCGGACCATGGACACAGGCGCTGTCCGAGCTCACATAAACCCACAATCATGATAAACCCACAGTTTGTGCTGGACCATGGACAGAGGTGCGGTCTGAGCTCACATAAACCCACAATTGTGATAAACCCAGCACCATCCCTCGGTTTGACCCGGACCATGGACAGAGGCACTGTCTGAGCTCACATAAACCCACAATTGTGATAAACCCACAGTTTGTGCTGGACCATGGACAGAGGTGCGGTCTGAGCTCACATAAACCCACTATTGTGATAAACCCAGCACCATCCCTCGGTTTGACCCGGCACTGTCCCAGCTCACAGCCAATCCACCCCATGGACAGCTCCCACTGCTCCAGCAGCCACCAACACRAATTCCTGCCCACAAAAGGGAACATTTGCACAATGCCCATAAAGGTGAGCCAACCCTTCTATTGCCAAAATTCCYAATCCATCTAAAATTAGGGAACTCGTTTTGTTGCATTTATCTCGGTGATTAATCACAAAACCTGGACAAAAGCTCCTGCAATTCCTCTGTCTCAGCTGTTCCAGGGCACTTTAGAAATCCTGGTTTCAGCAGGAAAACTCTTTCCAAAGGACTCGAACAAATGGATTTGGGACGTCCTCTAGAGYTGTTCAAATGCAAACTGCAAAGAGYGCTGAGCTCCACAGAAACCCAGATTCCAACCTGGAATAATGGTGGGAACATGAACCAGCAAACGGAGCCAAGAGTGGAAAGTTTAGAACCTAAAATTGACTCTAACCCCAAAGCTGAGAGCACAGGATTTAAAACCACATTGACATTTAAAGTCACACTACCACCATCTCAATATTCCTATGAAGAGCAGGACATGCATGCTTATTTTGCCATAAAATCCAATTTCACCACAGGGACACTCAAAGTTTTGCCTTCCCTCTGTCCCTCCCTTGTTYTGGCACTTGACACCAGTTCCAGTTCTGGAACTCACCATGGAGTAACCCCCTTGTAATCAGCTCTCTGATAGTTTCTTGAGCTTAACTTTCGATTCCAATGGGGTTTTTTCCAAGCCTTTTTCCTCACACAGGGACAGGAAACATCCAGAGACTTAAAGCCTCTTCCTCACCCATTTGTGGAAGAGTTTACCACCATCCTGAACTCGCGTGGGTGCAAAGTTAGCAACATAAATCCTCCACTTGAGATCAAAATCAGAAACTTCAGGAGAGGTTTTTAACAAAATAGAATTCCCAAAACAAATATAAAAATAATTTGCTTTATAACCCTACAACCACGATACACCAACAAAAACCATTTGCTGTATAAACCGACATCCATGATACACCAACAAAAATAATTTGCTTTTTAACTGACATTGATCATACACCAACTAAAATAATTTGCTTTATAACTGATATCCAATATACACCAACAAAAATCATTTGCTGTATAAACTAACAACCATGACACACCTAAAAAAAAAATTTGTTTTTTAACTGATATCCAATATAAACCAACTAAAATAATTTGCTTTATAAACTGACATCCATGATACACCTAAAAATAAAATTTGCTTTTTAGCTGATATCCGATATACACCAACTAAAATAATTTGCTTTTTAACCGATATCCAATATATACCCACAAAAATAATTTGCTTTTTAACCGATATCCGATATACACCAACTAAAATAATTTGCTGTATAAACCGACATCCATAATACACCTAAAAAAATAATTTGCTTTTTAACTGATATCCAATATACACCAACTAAAATAATTTGCTTTTTAACCGATATCCAATATACACCAACTAAAATAATTTGCTTTATAAATCAGCATCCATCATACACCAACTGAGAGAGACTGATCAATCAGATGAATATATCTCATTATCAGATGATTGTATCTCATTCTATAATAATAAAAATATAATTTATAATAAAAATATAATAATTTAAAATAAAAAGATGGCAAAAAAGCCCATTTGAAACCAGCGAACAGCAACCAAATCAACAAATTAGCAAAGGCAGCAGGAGCTGAGCCCCCATGGAAGGACATACCAGTCGTGGTAGGTGGTGATGGCGATGCTGGGCGGTGTCAGCAGGGGCAGGGTGGTGGGTCTGCACACCRTGTCCCTGTCGGGGGTTTTGGCTCTCTCCGTTTGCCGTTGGGCCAGCGGGGGCAGCTGAAGGTTCCCCGAGCAGCAGCGGCGGCCCCTCCACAGGTCAATGCCCAGGGCGTGGCTGGAAGTGCTGTAGGATTTGCTGAGCCCGCATTCCAGGTAATCCAGGGAGTTCTGCAAGCACACACAGAGTCC